CTCCCAGTGACTTTCCTTTGAAGAGGACGATAGCACGAGAAATTTCACCCACAGAAATATCAGTGTCCAGTGGGCTGCAAGGCCCAAGGCAGCGTGGACAGGTGACGCTTTCAGTGTGCTGGCCCCACCATTGACTGGCCGGGCACTGGATGTGCCGCTGTGGCCGGTGCCAGCGACAGAGCTCTCTCAGGGTCTGTCAGAAGCAGGCCTGGAGCGAGTGTGGTGTTCCAGGGACATGTGCTGAATTCCTTCCCACTCCTCTTCAAGGGAAAAAGCCTTGATTGTTTATTTTAAAATGAAACCCAGATGAAATACATTAGCCATACAGAAGCTAATACAGCGTGAGAATGTTTGTCCAGCACAGGAAGTTCACCAGCTAATGTTTTCTGTTGGTCCTTGTTCTGCACACTGTCCTCTCCATCAGCTCGTTGTAGGTCCTTTTACTGTGCTTTTAGCAGTCACCACAGAGTACAGCACGCACTCTTGGCTCGTTCATGTCTGATATAAATGAGCACTTTTACTACTTCTGAACCAAGGACCTTCGGCCGGCACTTCTCACACCCTCATCTGTGCGTGTGTCACTGGGACCTTGCCCAGCAGTTCTGGGGGTGGCCTGCGGCTGCATGTCCAACAGCCAGTGCTGCTGCGGTTGCTGGTCCTCGGACCACGCTGCAGATAGCCAAGCCCTGAACACTACCTGCGCTTACCGTCCTCTGCCTTTGCTGCTTTTCTGTCGTGTGTTCTAACATTTACATGTATTAAACCCCACAAGACACTGTGACTCTCAGGATGTCTGCTGGTACTGAATTTTTGTTTTTATCTAAAAGTGTCTTTACTTTGCTTCATTTCTCAAGAGCCTTTGCACAGCAGCTAGAATCCTAGGATGACAGGTATTTTCTTCTGGAACTTTGAGGATATCATTCCATTGTCTTCCGACTTCCACCCTTTCTCTTGAGAAGTGACTCATAAATCTTACTGCCGTTCCTTTGAAAGTGATGTCCCCACTCCTGGCTGTTTCTGTTGGTCTTTGGTTTTCAGCCAGAGTTCTGCTGTGATGTGATTTGAATGTGGGGCTTGATTTCCTTTGTTAGTCTCAGAAAATTGGCCGTAATCTCTTCAGATGTTTCTTGTGCTCCATTTTCTCTCCTCGCTTCTCCTCGGACTCGTCACACGTACGTCGAGCTTTTTACACCTTCCAGTGTCTCTCGTGCGTTCATCGTATTTTCTACAGTTTCTTCTCTCCAAGCTTCAGTCTGGATATTTTCTCCTGAGCATTTTCCAGTTGATCAACCCTAATAACTCCTCTGTTGGCCTCCCAGGGGTGTGTGTGTGTGTCTGTTTCCATTACCTGCTTTTTCTCTGGAAAATCAGGCATTTGGTCTTATTCCCTGGTTTGCTCAGGGTATTTTTTTCCTTGAATTCTGAGGCTTTGGTTGATGTTAACTTTGCCCAAAGAACGGTTCTCCTGCCTCTGGTTGTTGGTCAGGGAGGGCAGGTCACATCAACCTGGGATGGAGCTGTTGTGAAGCTGAATTCCTTTGGAGGCTGGTCTATTTCCGGTTAACCCTGACTCCTGGGGTCTCAACTGAAAGCCAGGTGTGTCCTCCAGCCTCTCTCCTGTATGGGCTGTGATCCCTCTGCTTAGTCTCTCAGCCCCTTGGCCTCCAACTTGTCCCCTCGACGTCCAGGCACTGCGTACGGACCACCGTGGCCTCCGGTGAATAACTGGCCCCCCGGCACCCCTTCTCCGGGGGACCCTGGTCCTTGCTGCCTTGGGGGTTCTCTGATGCCTTTCAGTAGTCTGGATTTTCTGTTATTTTCTCCACAAGACAGTCGGTCAGTTACAAAGTACAGCGTAGTTGAGTGTGGCCAGAAGCAGAACTAGTATTTCATGTACTTCTGGAACACCCGCCATACTCTTTGAGAGCCAGAAAGACAAAGACGGTCTGGGAGTTCTCTCTCAACACTTGTCATGGTTTCACACTTTCTACTAGAAACGTTGACAGATTTTCTCCCACGAAGTGCTGGGAACTCCAGGCATTTTGT